CTTTTGACCCACAGTTCCAGGGCTTGAGATGCCGCAAGAACTAGACGCCCACTAGCCAAAGACAGCATTCTCTTGTTCCTTGTGTCAGCGCTATGTGGGCAACACCCACAGCCTGAAGAACCTAGGGTGAAGGGGGGTAGAACTCGCTTTTATTCATATATGTAAGTAGTTTTGAGGAACCCAAGAACAGGAATCAATTGCAGGGCACTTATAACTTAAGGGGGAAAAAAGAGAAAGTGAAAAAGGAACATAATAGAGTGCAAAAGTTCTTGAGCCTTTTCTTAAATGGCTGGGGGTGGGGTAGCCGCAGCTATGCCTATTATTCTACAATGAGACACATTCAGTGATATTAATATTCAAGTCTTACTTATATTTAGCACTCCTGCACTTTTCCTTTCAGGACTTAAATAGCACAAATTCATTTATTTCTGCATCAAATAAGTGATACTATTTTGCATTTCTATAATGCTTGAAAAAGAAATCACTTTCATAGACTTTAGGATTGAAATGGACCTTAAAGGCTCTCCAATCCAATCTTCTTTCAATGCAAGGGTCTGCTCTGCAACATCTCTGACAGCTGATCTCCAAGCCTCTGATCCAGCACTTTCAATGATGGGTACCTTGAAAAACAAGTTCCATTTCATGAATAGATTAGTCGTCGTTGTTTTGTTATGTGCCATCAAGTCGGACCTGACTCATAGTGACCCCTCCTTGGGTTTCCGAGGTGGTATTACTACGGAAGTAGATTGCCCCATCTTCCTCCTGAGGAGTGGCTGGTGGGTTTGAACTGCCAGTCCTTAGGCACTATGCTACCAGAACTCCTGATTAGTCATTAGGAAGTTGTTATATCAAAATGCAGTTATCTGCTAGTGAACTTCCAGTCATTAATCCTCTGGAGTTTCACATTAGCATACCTAATAAATGCTTCTTCTACTTAGCTATTTAAATAATCTCAATTAACAAGTATATATAGACTTTGTCTTCCCTGGAGAAGGATGTCATGCTTGGTAGGGTGGAGGGTCAACGAAAGAGGGGGAGGCCTTCAACGAGATGGATTGACACGGTGGCTGCGATGATGGGCTCAAGTATAGCAGGGATTGTGGGGCTGGCGCGGAATCGGGCAGTGTTTCGTTCTGCTGTGCATGGGGTCACTATGAGTTGGAAACGACTTGACAGCACTTAACAACAACAACAACATAGACTTTGTCAGAATCTGAAAGTGTTGTAGGGAAAGAAAGATACAGACATGTATATTGTCCTCAAGAAGCTTATAGCAGGATCAGTACATGAAGAAATACACCCAGGGGACATCAAGCTCAATTGGCATAACATACTACACAAAAACATTGTTCTACATCCTACTTTGGTGAGTAGTGAGTGGGGTCTTAGAAGCTTGCAAGCAGCCATCTAAGATGCAACAATTGGTCTCTCATCTAGAGCAAACAGGAATGAAGAAAACCAAAGTCACATGGAAACAATTAGTCCAAGGGACTAGTGGACCATATGAAACTCAGCCTATATGACCCTGTGACCAGAACTAGATGGTGACCAGCTACCATTGCCAACCACTTGAAAAAAGATCAGTATAGGAGATCCCGGATAGAGTGGGAGAAAAATATGGAACAAGATTCAAAATCATAAAAAAAAAAAAAAAAAAACTGGACTGACTGGTCTGATAGAAACTGGTGAAACCCCCAAGATTATGGCTCTTAGTCACCCTTCAGACCTGGAATTGAACTCACTCCTGTGGCTTCCAGTCAAACAACAGACAGCATATAGGGTAAACATTTACACCAGATAGGTATACTCCATAGAGCAATCAACCATGAGAAATCAGAAGGGCAGTGTTTGTACAGGGAGAAACTCAGAGGGCAGGACTGCTTGGGAAAGAAAGATACAGGAAAAAGGTACCACTGAGAGGAAGTGGGAAAAGGGCTGTTACATTGTGGGAATTGTAATCAAAGTCATGAAAGAAAATGTATATGAACTGTTGAATGGAAAATGATTTTGCTCTGTGAACTTTCATCTAAAGAAACAAATACACCAAATAAAGTAGCAATCTCAGGAAAGAGGTATAGACAAAAATGGATGGGAGGGTAAGGAGAAAGTGACTATTTATAGCTGGGAAGTGGGGAAAGGGAAGAACACCAAGGCCCCCAATATTAACTAAAATAACTCTGTAAATATTTGTTGATGGTGATGATTGTGCTTTATGATCTAGTCCCATATTTAGAGCTTCATATCTTAAATCTAATGCTAATCACTGAATCCACCAGCACAGTGATCTAAGAAGATCCCAGGAAAGACAGCAGGAGTTTGTGACTTCAGGGATAAGCCTGTAAGTTGTTTCTATAGCTGGAACAACAGTAGCCTCGCATCTCAAATTAACCTCTAGAGCTCATAATTGATGAAAATAAAGCACATTGAAATTCAGGCCAAACATTAAGTCAAGCCCCTTATCATCAGAGCTTATCCTAAAAGCAATATGAGGGAGCCTATATGACTATGGGGAGCTCTGGTGGCATAGTGGCTAAGGCACTTGACTGCTAACCAGACGGCTGGCGGTTCAAACCCACTAGCCACTCCTCGGAAGGAAGGTTGGGCAATCCTACTATGAGAATCCGCTATGAGTCAGGTCTGACTCGACGGCACATAACAACAACAACAACAACAATATGACTATGAGACCAGAAGAACTAGATGGTGCCCAGCTACAACTGTCAACCACTAGAAGGAGGATCTATGTAGGAGATTCTGGATGGAGTAGGAGAACAATGTAAAGCAAAAGTCAAAATTATAAAATAAATAAAAGGGACCAGGTGTGGTGGTCTGATAGAGCTTGGTGGAACCCCTGAGACTATGGCCCCAACTGCCCATCAGGTCTGGAATTGAACCCACTCCTGTGGATTCCAGCCAAACAAAAGACAGGCATATGAGCTGAACATTTACACTAGGTAGATACACTCCTTGCAGAGATCAATCATGGGAGAATAGAAAGCTGTGTATGCACAGGGAGACAGCTCAGGGAGCAGGAGTGCATGGGAGAGAAGGACACAGGGAAGAGGTGACTATGGGGAGGCAGTGGGAAGGGAGCTGTTAAATTGTGGGAAATTGCAGTCAATGTCATGAGACAAAATGTATATGAGCTGCTGTACGGAAAATGAATTTGCGCTGTAGACTCTCACCCAAATCACAATAAAATTAAAAAAAAAAAAAAAGAGTAACATGAGGGAGAAGCCACCAAAAATCAAACTCACTGCTATCAAGTCAATTCTGACTCACAGCAACCTTATAGGACAGAGTGTAACTACTCCATATGGTTTCCAAAACTGTAAATCTTTGCAGAAGCAGACTGTCTCATCTTTCATCCCCAAAGTAACTGGTGAGTTTGAACCACTGACCTTTTGGTCAGCAGCAAATGCTTTAATCACTGTGCTACCAGAGCCCCACAAGGGAAAAGCAGGGTCTAGGAAAAGTCAAGGCCTGAAGGAAAAGGAAGGGGAAGGAAGAAAGAAGAACAATTCCAGATGGAGGTATGAGAGGTTCAATAAAGAGTAAAATCATTTCAGGTTATTCCAAGGAGGAAAACAGGGAGTTAACAGTCAGAAGAGCTTTGGGATGAAAAACTTATCTAGCAAAATTTGTCTTAAAACTTGGCTCTAACCATGTAGACACTCCCACTCCTATTTCTACCCCAAAGTGTTCAGGAAATTCTTATGATGTGCTAAGTTAAACTCACTCTCTTGATGTCTTTTAAGGCCTTCACAAACTGGCCCCAATTTTCCAGTGCAGACTTGCTTCCTTCAGGTTCCCCCAAATCAAGTCAAAGTAGATGACACAAGATCTGCCCTGAATATGCACAATGCTCCACAAACCTACAAACACACACATACACATATGCACACTTCCTCGCCTCTTTGCCCTTACTTTTATTGTTCTATCTACTTGGATACCCTTGCTACCCATTCTTTCTTTTCAAAATGGCACTCAACCTTCAAGGTTGGTCCATATCTAACATTGCCCTTCTAGATACAGCTACCTCTTCCTCTGAACGTCATTTCTCAAATGAAATTTATTTTTGTTTTTAATCTCTCTTATGTAACTTATTCAATCTTCCTGGTGTTGCAGCTGTGTGTGCCCTCCTTTGTAGTGCCAGCAATTTATTTATTATTTTACTATAGAAAGCACCATATTTATTATAGTTGGTTATTGATGTTGTCCTCTCATCCTTCCCCCTCTGCCTCCTTAAACTAGAATTTGAACTCCTTGAGGGAGGAATTAATTTTTATTCCTCTTGCTACTACCCCATCCACATACCATACATGTAGCTGGCAATTAATACAATTTTCTTGCCCTGCTCTAAATTGAAATGGGCTTAATCTGCAGCATGAGGCATTGAAGAACTTCCTGACAATGAGGGAAATGTCAGGGACTTATTCCTTGGAAATTTTTCCGTGGAGAAAAGCTTCTGTCTGAGGAGAATCACCCAGGATTCAGAGAGATGAAAAAAAATGACTCCCAAAGGATCTGGTCACCTCCAGAAGTCTGTAATACAGCTCATGATATTCAAGATCAACAAGGGCTATAATGTTTTCAGAGTTTTCTGTGGGGAAACCTGCCTTTAGCCATTAGGACTATAGGGAAGCCTAGGGAGGAATCCTTTTTTCATGGTCTTAGGAGTCAGGTTCCCTTGCCCATCTATCCCTTGGAGAAGTGTGTCCCTTTTTCTGTCCTTTTCCCTTGCCACCCCCCAACATTCCAGCCTGGGGCAGGGGGAGGCCAGTGGACACAAAGCCATCTGTGTATGGGGTGGTATGTGTCCCCCCACCCCTCCACCCAGAGCACACAATGCCCCTTCTGCTCCCGGCATTCTCCCCCCCCTCCCTACCACCTCTCAACTGCACATGCCAGGCTGCAATTGGTTACTGACTCAAGACAGCCCCCTCATGTTGGGGCCCCAGGGGATTTTAAGCGGGTTCCAGGAACCCCCGCTCAGTTCCCTGTCCCCCACTCTCCCAACCCCACAGATGCTCCGAGTCCTAGCCCCTGCCCCAGCAATGGCTCCTGGGGCTCCCTCGTCCAGCCCCAGCCCTATCCTGGCTGTGCTGCTCTTCTCCTCTTTGGGTAAGTGGAGTCACCTCAGTCTGGGAGCTCAGGTGGTCTCTCAGCAACTTTCCCATTTCAAGGTCTTTATCCAGTGCTACTACCTTCACTGCTTCCCTCACTGCAGTCAAAGAAAAGGCAAGCACGAGCAGGAAGGAGATATTATTTTTAGAGAAATGAAAAATATATGGTTTGGAGGGAAGCAATGAAGGTATTCTATGATGAGAGAGGGTTAAAAAAGAGTGATTGTAAAGTGCTTCCCTGAGGTGAGCGTAGCTGGGCCCAAGTTGGGGACCAGTAAAGCGCCCACAGAGCTATGTTAGGAAGTGGTAGAAAGCAGTTCTAAGACATGAAAACGAGTAGGATCAGACACCTGGATTCTGGTCCACACTCATCCCGCAGCAATGCAGGACGTACCTGACCTTAGTTTCTCAGAAAAGAAAAGGCAGAGAGTGTCATCCAAGGCAGGGAGCCCAAGGTTTGTGATCCTAATTCCTCAGATCCTATGACTTTTAGTGCCTTGGTTTCTTTTTATGGCTCTATTGTCTATTATATGGATGAATGGAATCAAAGGGAGATTCTAGGACCTTATCCTTCTAAAGCTTTCATATATTGAACAGCTGCTTCCTAGCCTGTGGCAGATGTTGGAAAAGCAACAGGTCAAAGCAGTTATTTGAACGGGTCCTCCCCGTCTCTGAATTGCCTTAAAGCCTAGCATAATGGGGAAGCTGGGAGGAGGCAAGCTTGCTCAGATTGACTAAGGTTCTCTGCTATCAGTTCCTTGAGTCCTAAACCCAGAGCATACTCTTCTAGACTGTTCTGGGGCCTCCCAGGAAAATGTTAAGGATAAGGAGTTAGAAAAGGACACGATGAGAGAAAGTGGTAGATGGAATCTTGGAGTTCAGGGAGAAGAGTGAGCTCTGTCCCAGCACCTGGCCCATTTATAGAACCATTGAGTAGAGCTGATAAAAGCAATAATTGATTATAACAGGAGAAATAAAAAACAAGATCCAATGAAGAGCCTCCTTTATTACAGGAAGACTCTAAATCAGGGGTTCTAGGAGGTGAGTCAATGATAATGTATGCTGAGGTAGGAGATTAGGATCATGGAAGCAGGTGGCATGAGCCCCAACATTGGTCAGACAATGGGGCTCTGTTTGATTGGTTCTCCCCTCCCTCTCCTGCAAAACAAAAGGGGCTATAGTCGTCCCCACCCAGAGGCCAGCCCACACACATAACCTCTATGGAATGGCCTTTATGGATGGGTCTTGGGAGTGGCGCTGGGCCAGAATGGCTGAGGAGGGTGAGGAGGGTTGAACCACAGTGAGCTCACATGCAGAGTCATCTGAGTTCTGGAATTGGGGCCTTGCTTTGCATCACAGCTGATGCAGGATGTGAGATTCTTCCCTCTCTGACCCTCCAGACAAGAGCAGGCTGGGTGGCAACTGAGGATTTAGCAGTGAGGGAGAGTTGTGCCAGGCAAGAAGACTTACATTTTCCAGTTATCTCTATTTTTTTTCTGCATGAAACTTGAGTTTACCATACTGTGAAATACTATGTAGCTGTTAAAAATAAGATTGGTCTGTATGAATCAACATGGAAAGCACCCTCAGATACATATATTCTTAAGCAGGAAAAAAAATGTAGCATACAATGCAATGTACTTAAGAATAGAAAATTCCAGAGGCCAAAACTATCTATTTCTGATGGGTATATATACAGCCAGCGAGAGTGAGTTTATATTGAGTTTAAAGCTTAGGAAAAGGATACACATTAAATTGATAACAGTGGTTATATCTGGGAGAGGACTACAGGAAAAGAATTGATTGGGAAGAGTCAAGGGAGACTTTTAGCTTTATCTCTATTTCTTGAATAGTTTATGAGACAAATGCAATATGTTTTGCCTGTATATTTTATAATAAATAAATTTTAAAGATCATTTCTAAGGGAAAGCTTTAATTGATACTGACCTAAGGGAAAGTGAAACTTGGAGACAGAATCCAATCTCTGGGAGATCTCTAGAGAATTAATTCTGTTACTGCTGATTTCATTTCCTCTACAGAACTTGCTGAAAAACTTGACCTGACACAGTATTTATGCTCATCTATTCAGTTAGTCTAGAGAAAAGACCTCTGGTGGTGTAGTGGCTAAGTCATTTGACTGCTAATCAGAAGGTTGGCAGTTCAAACCCACCAGCCACTTCGTGGAAGGAAGGCTGGACAGTCTATTTCCGTAAAGGTTTACTGCCTCGGAAACCCAAAGGTGGTCGCCATGAGTCGGAATCGACTTGGTGGCAGTGAGTTTATTTTTGTTTTTGACAGGTGTTTGGGCCTCAGACAGTGGCGTCACTAGGAGAGCACACAGGGGGTGCGGTGTCAGAGGGGGTGACACCAAAATGACCCCAGAGTTCAAGGCGGCGGCCGTCCGGATCACCCATCACTCAGAGTGCGGGCCGGAGGGCAGCCTCGGCCCTAATTGGGTGGGGAGGAGAATCTCCGCGTAGGCCAAAGGGAGAGGGGCGGACCTACCCGGAGCCGCAAGCGGCGGGCCGCGCTGGATGCACTCAGCCCCGCGCGAGGGGCGGGGCGGGAGGCTCCGCCCACTAGGGAGGTCACCGCCCTGCACTGCTCACGAAGGGGTTGGTACCATGATTTATCGCACTCAGTGACACTAACCCTAGCGACGTCACTGGCCTCAGAATTGATCCTTTCTGTCTCAGTCTTTGCTATGGCCGCTGACCAGTTACTCAGCTCTTGACTTCCTTATGATCTTTCTTCTTCTTTATCCCTCCTTGGACCTACATGTGTATCTGAACCCTGCTCTGTGCTTACAGTGCTGTCCCCAGTCCAGGCCATCGTGGTTTACACAGACAGGGAGGTCCATGGTGCTGTGGGCTCCCGGGTGACTCTGCACTGCTCCTTCTGGTCCAGCGAGTGGGTCTCAGATGACATCTCCTTTACCTGGCGCTACCAGCCTGAAGGGGGCCGTGATGCCATCTCGGTGAGCACCTGGGGGAATCTTGGGGGCAGATAACTGGCAAGGAGGCAGAACGGTGTGCTTCAAAGAACAACAGTAAAAACAACTTGGATTAAGGAGGGGGAACTCCTTTATAAGCCATAACCCCAGCTCTGGCAAGGTAAGTGGCAATCCTTGTCACCCTGGCCACTGTTTCCCTGCATCACCACCCACACCCCTCAGTCACCCTCTCCAGCCTAGGGTCCCTCACCCTAAACCAGAGCTAAGCTTTCACAGTCCTGTTCTCACTAGGGTCCTCTCACATACTTTGCCTCATTCTTCAGATCTTCCACTATGCCAAGGGGCAACCCTACATCGACGAGGTGGGAACCTTCAAAGAACGCATCCAGTGGGTAGGGGACCCTCAATGGAAGGATGGTTCCATTGTCATACACAACCTGGACTATAGTGACAATGGCACTTTCACCTGTGACGTCAAAAACCCACCGGACATAGTGGGCAAGACCTCTCAGGTCACGCTCTACGTCTTTGAAAAAGGTGTGCGAGGAAATGGGGAACAGGGATGAGTCCAAGTAGGCAGTAACGAGTAGCGCAAGGCCTTGAGAAGACAGCACCGAAAGCTTAGGGAAAGAAGCAAAAGCCGAGCCTTGTGCCCTTCAGACTCTGGGAGGATGGGCGGGGAACAGCTGCAGTCCTTTTATTCTCAACCACAGGGAATAGGTGTGGGGGCTGGAAAAGAAAGATGCAGACCCTATTCCTTCCCTCACTTCTTTTCCCTCCTCTCCCAGTGCCAACTAGGTACGGGGTGGTGCTGGGAGCTGTGATCGGGGGTGTCCTGGGGGTGGTGCTGTTACTGTTGCTGCTGTTCTACTCTGTGCGGTACTGCTGGCTACGCAGGCAGGCAGCCCTGCAGAGGAGGCTCAGGTAAGGGGCGGAGCGTGACTTCCCAGCCTTCAGCCCTATTATCCCCCATCTGGGCGGAGACTACTACAGTGGGTGGGAGAGCTAAAGCCAGGAAGAAACCGCTTTCCCCCTGCGCGAGGCTCCGGGTAGTGGTGGAGCCAAACCCATAGCACTCTCTTTTCTTCCAGTGCCATGGAAAAGGGAAAATTGCACAAACCTGCAAAGGATTCGTCTAAACGCGGCCGTCAGGTTAGCGGAACTTGGGGCCTGGACAAACTGGGGAGGAGAACCCTGGCAGCTGCCCGGCAGCAGTGAAGGGGTGGGATGGGAACAGTTAAGCCCCCCTGACCCGTGACTGATATGTGCATCCCCCCTCCCTCGCCCCCAGACGCCAGTCCTATATGCCATGCTGGACCACACCAGAGCCAAAGCTGCCAGTGAGAAGAAGCCCAAAGGGCTGGGGGAGTCTCGCAAGGATAAGAAATAGCGGTTAGCGGGCCGGGCGGGGGGTCGGGGGTTAGGGGTGGAGCCGTCCAAAAGAGCTCAAAAGGTGGTGGTCATCGAGATGGAGCTACAGAAGGATGAGCAGAGCTCAGAGCTCCGCCCTGCTATCAAGTCCCCCAGCAGAACCAGCCTTAAGAACGCCCTCAAGAACATGATGGGTCTGGACTCAGACAAATGATCGCACCCCCCTCCAGGCCCTGCCAGAGTACGGGGACCTAGGCTTCTCTTATTCCCTATCCCCTGTCTAGGTGCTTTCCTCCCAGGCTCCCCAGCCCTGCCTTCCTTTCGCCTCCCTTTGAGATGTAAGTTTCATTCCAAAATTCATTCCCCTTCTCCACATTCAACCCCTGGCTCTCTGGGAGCCCTAGGCCTAATCTTATCCTACTACCCCAGCCCCAAGGACTGTGTGTTTGGTGCCTGTCTTTTGGGCATCGAGAAGAAAGGGACCTTGATTTTGCAGCCCCACCCCCGCCCCCAGGCCACCTGGGATTCTCGCAGCCCAACCCTCTGGCTCTTTCCTGTGTGCCCCCACTCTTCATCAGGTGGTCCAACCCCTTACTCTATCCTCTCAGCTAACACCCAGATCAGACTCTCCTTCAGGGTTTATTTAGGTTGTTGATTATATTTTTATTTTTTAATCCATTCCTTTTTTTTTTTTTTTTTACCTCTGCCCATGATTTGCCCCTCCCCCATGACTGAGGACTAATGACGTCATGTGGCTTTTGCAATTCCCCACCCCCATTAAGTCCTTAAAGGAGAGCCATCCCGTGCAGTGGGGCCCCTGATCCTCAACCTCAGCTACAGGATTGGTGCCCCCTGCCCCTTTTGGAGCACAGTTCTGGGACCATGGATCTTGGGGAAAGACAGAGAAACAGTGGATCCTCACAGGTCAGGGGGTGGGAGAGGGGCCGCGTGAGATTTAAGAAATGGCTTTTAAACAACCAAACTGAAAGCAGGAAAAACAAATGGGAAATGGGGGAGAAAGGGAAGAGGCTGAACTCCTGGCCACAAGGGATTCTTAGGATTTTTCTACATTCTGTATATTTCTTCTCAAACCCCCAAATGTCCTTCAATGTTTAATAAACACTGACATTTCCAAAAGCTGCTGCCTCTATCGCTTATTCCCTCGTCCTCCAGAGAACAATCCCTGCCCCTCATCTCACCCCCAGTATCCTGTTTTTTTCATATTCTTTCCCATCCCTCATGTCTCTTCCTCATTAGTTGGTTTCTGTTTTCAAGAGTTAAGTTTTATAGTTTGGGCATATATATATAGTACGGTGGAAAGAACCTTAAGATAGGCTCACAAGACTCATCCATACGGTCAGCAAATAACCAATGGGCTTATGTTGTTGTTATGTGCGGTGAGTTGGACCCGACTCATAGTGACCCTCCTTGGGTTTCCGAGGCAGTATCACTACGGGTTTCCGAGGCAGTATCACTACGGAAGTAGATTGCCCCATCTTCCTTCTGAGGAGTGGCTGGTTAGTTTGAACCGCCAGCCTTCTGGTTAGCAGTCAAGTGCCTTAGACACTATGCTACCAGAGCTCCAATGGGTTTATACTATGTGCTAAATAAACTAGGTTGCCAGTTGGAACCCACCCAGAAGCATCATGCAAGAAACTCTGCAAAGATTACAACCAAAAAAATCCCATAGAGCATTGAATTGGAATTAACTTCACAATCGATTTTGTTTTTGCTGGTTTAAGCAGTATGGAAGGCTCTGTGTTTACATCCTTTAAAATGCAGAATCCCTGAATTCTCAAAACATCTCAGTCACTCACTAGCTGTGTGATCCAGTTACTTGACTTTGGTAAACTTGTTTCCACATTTGTAAACAACTGAGATGATGATACCTGCCTTGTTTAGTCCTCTGAGGTTTTATTTTTTAAAGAAACAAGTGAGATCTTGTGTATGGAAACATGTCAACTATAAGTTGATATAATGTTAATGGTCAGCCCTTTGGAGTATTGCTAGCTCCTGCCCAAAGGAATCCACTTTCCAAACTAGCACAAATCCCATTCACCCTTCTATACATGCACTGCTTTGTTTTGGACACCATTTTAGGTATGCTGGGAATACCTCGTGAACTAGTTTGCTGGTATGCTAATTTAGGAACACCATTAATATCCTGGAACCCTTAAATGATTGTGGGAAAAAATATACACAGCATTTTTCCCTGGGGGAATTGATGGCAGAAAAACAAAGACTTCCACAAGTCATTTATTTTCTTTGTTAAGAGGCTAAAGATAGGATTTTTAACACCAGCTTTGCCAAAACCAGAATGCTTCCATGTATTTAAAGGGGTGTCTACCACTTCTTTTAAAAGAAAAATTAATCAGAATTCATTTTAATATAAAAGCTAATAGCTTCTATATAGCTTTTTTGAGGTAGAAGAGGAAGCTTAGTCATAACTCAAGGTCAGGGATATCTAAGCTAAAGATTCCTTATTAATAATAATGCTAAATGATCCATTATTCATTAGATACTTGCAGCTGGGTGCCCTGCTTAACTTCCCTGGTTGTTAAGGAAGTCAAATGAGACATTATGTCACTACTGAGATTAAGCATAGCCAAGGTTTTTCAGTTACTTACATATTTGCTCTAAAAAATTATCAGCTACCTGCATTTTATCAACTCAGTTTACCTGATTGTTTTAATAGTTAGATTCTCTCAGAATTTCTAGGACCTTGGAACAGAATTTTGCAATCTTTCTACTATGCATTTTCACAAGTACAGCATAGTTCCAGGGGTTTATGTAGGACTGCCCATTTTCCGTTATTCCCAACAATGTAAACCCCATCCTTTCTCTTCTCCTCAGCAAAACATTAAATAAAGTCTAAAGTAATAATTCAGGTGAAGAGGAATGGCATTGTTACACGGGAAACTTTCAATTTGACCTCATTACTACTTTTAAATCATTCAGAATCCTTCAAACCAAAACCGAACTCACTGCTATCCAGTAGATTCTGACCCCCTCTGGGTTCCTAAGGTGGTAAATCTTTATGGAAGTACATTGCCCAGTCTTCCACAGAGTGGCTGGTGGGTTTGAACCTCCAACCTTCTGGTTAGGAGTCAAATGCCTTAGGCATTAAGCCATCAGAACTCCTTTCAGAATCCCTAGTGCATTATTAATAGTAAATAGCATCAATTTGACCTGGCATGTGAGCACTTTGAGTTGGCTGCTTTATCTTTTAAAATTTATTTGTTTATATACTTATTAAAAGCTTCTTCCAGAATTACCCTAAAAATTAAAACATTATAACCCAATTTAATCCGAGGCAGTAAATCTTTACAGAAGTAAATTGCTCAGTCTTCCTTCCACGGAGTGGCTGGTGGGTTTGAACTGCCAACCTTCTGGTTAGCAGTCAAATGCTTTAGGCACTACACCATCAGAGCTCCCTAATTTATGACTATACATACAAAAATTCTAAATTAAGTATTAGCAAACAATTCTACAGTGAGTTAATAAAATAATACATTATGACTATAAAGTGTTTTATTCTGGGAATGCAAGACAAAATTTATTATATATATTAACCTAGAGAAAAAACATGATTATAATTTTAGCTCTATGGCACTGTGTGTAAAGCATTTGGCTGCTAAACAGAAGGATGATGGTTTGAACCCACCAGCCACTCTGTGGGAGGAAGATGAGGCAATCTATTTCCATAAAGATTTACAGCCTTGGAAATTCAATGGGGGTCACTATGAGTCAGAATTGACTGGATGGCAGAGGGTTTGATTTGGGTATATTATTATTATTGTTATTATTAATTAGTAAAATTCAGTAGCCATTCCTAACAAAGACTCTGGGTAATATAGAACTGGAAATAAAGAAACTCTCTAAATATGATGCAAATTATTTTTTTAATCATAAAAAAGAGAACATATCAAATGTGAAACACTGGGGATATTGTCATTAAAATAGAAAATGAGATAGTATGTCCATTATCACTAGTACTATTCAATATTGTTTTGAAGAATTTAGTGTAATAAGACAAGAGCATGAAACAACCTGTATATGCATTAGAAGAGAAAATCATCTTTATTTACAGATATAATTGCCTCCCTAGGAAATCCATAAGACTCAACTAGAAAGCTACTGAACTAATAAATCATTTTGGTAATATGATTGCAAGATAAATTTATTAAGATCTATGGCTAGACATCTAGCTGAAAATGGGAAGAAGCGAAGAAGAGGAGCCCATTCACAACAGCAAAAAGAATAAAACCAAAAATCAACAAGAAAGGTACAGATCCTGTTTGATAAAATTTATTAAAAGACCTAAGTAGAATAGAGTAAACAAAAAGACACATCATGTTGCATTAAGGAAGATTTAATACAATTGTCTGTCCTTCTTTACCAATAATAGTAATATTCCACTGGAAATTCTAATGGGCTCCTTTGGAAATGGACCAAACTATTTTAAACTCCATATGGACGAATAAATATGCAAGAATCGCCAGGAACATTTTGAACATGAAAAATGCTAATGAGAAACTTGCCCTATCACAGTTTAAAACTTACTATAAAACTACTATAATCAAACAGGATAACAGGAACAAGTTTAGACAAATAGATTAGTGAAACAGAATACAGAGTCCAGGAAACATGCAAATAGATGTGGAAACCTATTATAAAAGTAATATTTTGGTTCAGTGGTCAAGAATATATTATTTAATAAAAATATTGGCACAATTGACTATAAGTCTGGAAGAAAGCAAAGTAAAATATTTATCTCACACTATAGTGGCTAAGACACTTGCCTGCTAACCAGACGGCTGGCGGTTCAAACCCACCAGCCACTCCTCGGAAGGAAGGTTGGGCAATCCTACTTCCGTAGTGATACTGCCTCGGAAACCCAAGGAGGGGTTGCTATGAGTCGGGGCCGACTCGACGGCACATAACAACAACAACAACAATATATAAAACTAAAGTTTAAATGAAAAAACGAAATATACATATCAGAAAGAGATAAGAGTA